TACACACTACTCTGCAATGCCTGCCTCTATTTTCTTATGGCCTTTTGTTTTGAACTGGTGGCTTCCTGCACTTGATCTTATCCAAAAGGCCAAGAAGCAGTAACCTATAGCTTCAGGCTCATAGTATTTACAGCGAGTGAGTCATGGTGATCTTTTTTTTTTTCCCCAAGGTTTGTTTGTTTGTTTGTTTATTGGAAAGATAGATATGCAGGGAGGAGAGACAGAGAGGAAGATCCTCAATCTGATGATTCACTACCTAAGCAGCCGTAATATCCACAGCTGAGCTGATCCGAAGCCAGGAGCCCAGAGCTGCTTCTGTGTCTCCCATGTGGGTGCAGAATCCCAAGGCTTTGAGCCGTCCTCGATTGCTTTCCCAGACCACCAGCAGGGAGCTAGAAGGGAAGAGGAGCAGCTGGGATATGAACCAGCATCCATATGGGTTCCTGGCAGATGCAAGGTGAGGATTTAGGCACTAGGTTATCCTGCTGGGCCCAATGATCCTTATTATTAAAGTGTCCTAATATTCCAACACTTCAATCAGTGAGAGCTGGAGTCCACATAAACACTACTTGCTTTAGACATGGGCCCTGATTACTCAAAAGAGGAAAGTTGAATGCTGAACTGGTTTCTTAGTTTCCTGTTGCCCCTGTAAAGCAGCAGGTCATTGTGCTGCAGCGTGGGATGTGAGGAGGAGTCCACAAAGCCACGTGCTGGGAGGCTGGGGGAGCACCCGTTCCCTTGCCTGTTTTGCTTGGCTCGTGCCCTTTTCTGGCATCCCTCTGACCAGTGCTTCCAGGCCAGTTCCATTGAGGCTGATACTGTTGTGTGTCTCTTCTAATCATATTGGGCTCAGCTCAGTAACCCAGGACACTCTGTTGCTGTTTTCTGACACTCCCATCTACAAAATCCCTTTTGCCATAAGAAGTAACCTACTCACAGGTTTGGGGATTAGAATGCAGGTTTCTCTGGGGTATGTGTGTGTGGAGGGGGCGGGCACTGCTCTACTGACCATCTCTGCTTTTCATTCCTGCTTGTCACAGAAGCTAGCCACTTCGTTTCTATAGCAACTGCATCAGTCGGGACTCTCTTGTGCTTTCTCTCCTTTCATCTGGCCTGTTCCATTCTTTCTCCGTTCTCTCCCATTCTCTTCTGCACTCCAGTTCTTGAAACATGCCTATGTTGGGTCCATTGGTGTCCTGAGGTCTTTGTTTTTCTATATTTTCCTCTACAGCCCTCAGTCTTATTTTCTTGTCCACGTGGTTAGCTTTGGTAAGTGTTGTTCCCTGTATGTGAGAAAGCATTTCTATGAGTAACTTGAGACCTCAAGTGAGGGGAGGCTTTGTGCTTGCTTTTTAGTCCATCTTGAAGGAAGTTCACAGTTGAGATTCTCTGGCTCTTTCGGAGGTGGCAGACCTCAGCCTCCAATCTAAGGGAGGCTGCTCTGGTGGCCTTTGGGTTGTCATGGTGAGAGTCTCCAGTTAGTTCACTACCCTGCCTAACCCTGAGGTATGTGTGTGTGGAGCAATTTCTGCCAGGAGGTCATTAATGGAAGGTTCTAGTTTGTCAGCATCAACTGGAGCTTGGGGTTCAAGAATGGTTTCTCCACAGTTCAGCTCTCTGAGTTCCCATTTTCTTAGTTTTTGTCTGTTTATTCCTTGCTTGGTTGTCAAAACTTCAGAACATTTTGTATTTAAGAAAATATATATTGTATTCATTGTTAATTATTTTCAGAAGAATGATGGGGTTGATAGTGAAGGCTGTCCTCCCAGACACCAGACTCAGGGCCTGTTTTCCATATTGCCTCTGCCACTCCCATCCCATTCACTCTGGGCTGGATGAGCACTCTCCAGCACCACTTGTGATGGTGTCAGAGTTTTGCTTAAGCATGCATATGTACAAGAGTACAGTGTCCATTCATGTAAATTTCAGGCCCTGCTCTGACAAGATGAGCGGTCAGCTTCAGAACTCAGGGCTGTGGTCTGCTTTGGAAGACAGAAGCTGTAGGAAAGGGTACTTAAACTTTCTTGGTACTTTGAAGGCTTGAGAAAAAAATGTTATCTCTCAGCTTGTAGTAATTGAGCTTCAGTGGGAGAAGGCAGGAGGTTCATCATTTCTTATGTTGCTAGGTTGTCAGTTGGATAATGAAACCCTTTTCATTTCTCTAGTAAGCTGTTCACGTGTTACTGGTTCAGAACAGAACTCTTAGCGGGCTGATGGGCACCCATGACCGGGCAGGAGGTGGGTACCAAGGCCAGAACAAAGCAGGGATGAAGGGAGGTGGTAGCTTGCTGCCATGGGAAAGTCACTTGGAGAAGATGTCCTCCCACATGGAGTCAGTGTCCATCCTCAGAATATACCACATTAATCAGGTTTGCTTTCCTTTTGGCCTTGGCTGTCCTACAGGACTGTGACTATGGGAGAGGTTGATCTTGTTGGTCCTAGCAGTGAGCCATTGGGAAGACAGAAAAGGGGGTTGCAGTGGTCCCTAGGAGGAGGAAGAAAGGACCATCTGCTGGGTTGTCTAGAACCCAGCTAGTGGGCTGTGGTTCCTGCACCCTCAGTTATCCAGCAGTGGAAAAAAAAATAAGGAAAATGGAGCCAGGCTTGGGCAGTGTGGGTTGGTGGCCTTGACTGTGAACCCTTGAAGCTGTTGTTTAAACCTTAGAGAAACACAGTAAAGTTAGTGAGCCAGACTGCCTGTCACTCAGCTCTCCGTAGGCTCCAGCTCGATCCCTGTTTGACACAAGACTCTGAGACAGTCTGATCCAAGATCAGCAGGAATCTTTAATGGCAGGTCAGGGAACCTGAACATGAGCAGGAGGCCCTAGTGGCTGCTGCACCAAAAAAAGGGGGGCGGGGAGGAGGGAATGCAGTAGCCTAGTGGCTGAAGTTCTTGCCTTGCATGTACCGGGATCCCATCTGGGCACTGGTTCCAATCCTGGGGGCCCCACTTCCCATCCAGCTCCCAGCTTGTGGCCTGGGAAGGCAGACAAGGATGGACCAAGGCCTTGGGACCCTGCACCCGTGTGGGAGACCCGGAGGAGGCTCCTGGCTTCGAATTGGCTCAACTCCGGCCATTGCAGCCACTAGGGGAGTGAATCAGCGGATGGAAGATCTTCCTGTCTGTCTCTCCTCCTCTCTGTAGATCTGAATTTCCGATAAAAAAATAAATAAGTAAAATCTTGAAAAGCAGTAGCAACAACAACAAAAAACCAAAAACAAAACCCAGATCACTTTCTGCGTGGGCACCTGTGTTTTGTTCCCAGGATCCTGGCTGAGACCCAGAGCCTCTGAGTGCGCTTGTGTTTTCACCCCTTGCTCTGGCTCCCAGCCTGCCCCACCTGCCCCTGCAGTCAGGTCTCTCCACTCTGGCCTTTCCAGAGGACTGACTGACACCATTCAGCCCCGGAATTATGTGCTTTGTACTTACTTGGAACCACTGCTCCCGGTGAAGCAGTCTCATAACCACGGGACCTTACATATCAGCCTTCCTGTAATTAAAGCAATTTTAACAAGTTTGCTTGTCAGCCTGTCAAGAATTGCCAAGGAGCAAACTTTCTTTTTAAAATTACCATTATAAAACTAGGTGACACTGAAATGAAAAACATGTTTTGCTCCTGGATTTTTCTTTGCTATTGAGCCTCCAAACCTACTGGCTTAGCGACAACAGGGGAGGGTTGTTCTGGGCTCCGGCTCGAGGCTGTGTTTCTAGCTGCCACCAGCTCCTGCATTTATGTTGTTTGGTTTGATTGAGATTTTTCCTTTGCTAAGATCCAATGGGGATAGGAAAGTCTGAAGTACACAAGTGAGCAAAACTCTGTTAGAAAGCTTCTAGTAATTTCTCTCAGGTACTTGATAACTGAAAATATATAGTTTCAGATGTGTCCTTGTCATGGCTGTCCCCTTGTTATCACTGGAGAACTTCCTCAGGCGACCAGATCGTTGTTTCCCAGTGCTCCTACTGTCCACCAAACTTTGTCAGGTTTGATGTTTTTACTTTTTGGCAGTATTAATTGCCAGCATTTTTGACCATGCGTATTTGGTGGAAAATTTAAATGTAGGAACTGTTTAAATTAAAGGAAAAGGCAGCCTCATGCTGATCATCTGTGGTAGATGAAGTGCATCATGTTGGCTGGTGTACAGTAAACTGTAACATGGGTAGGGTTTTCGATTAGGAAAGGCATTTAGATTCTCATTTTACAAATGAAGATACTGAAACCTGGAGAGGTTGTGGCCTGTGCAAACTCCCACTGAGTCAGCCAGGAAGGGAGCAAGGACCAGCAACCCTCATGTCCAGTCCTAAGTGGGCACTCTCTCCTTTACCCATGATGCCTCTCCATTCTGACAGTCTGTTTCTGACCCCTCAGCATCCCTCCAGCCTGGAGACAGAACATAGAGCCGGGTGTTTGAACATGCCATGTCCCTGCTCATGTTCCTGCCTTTGTTTGTTACTTCTCTCCTCTTAACGTGCCCATCCCACATAACCTGTCAGTTTAGGAGACCAAGCAGGTGTGCTACCTCTCACTCTGCTCAGAACTCCCAAAACCCACCCTGTGCATTAGCTTGTTTGACAAGGTCTCTGCTCAGGTTGTGTGTTAGTTTCCAACTTGTAAGGTCTCCCAGGATGCTTTAGTATCCAGTGGGTGGGTCAGAAGTGAATAGGAGATGAAATGTCCTGAATGTCACAGGTGGGCTTGGTATCTTTTGTTTTGCAACCCATTTGAGGAGATGCCTCTCTGTGTCTCACTCCTAAGGTAGAAAGGAGTGCTTGCATGTTTCAATATAGCACTACAGAATTCTTGGCTGATGGTGGTTTACAGCATTACCATCTGTTGGCCTGCCATTTCCACTGTGAATTCAGCTTAGAACATGCCTGGACTGTATCGTGGGGCCTTAGAATGTGGCCATGTTTTCCTGGCAGACCTTGTGGTACTTACCATTTGTGGAATAAAAAAGCCAACAGCTCATGGCAGTTTGTTCACAGACTTCCATAGCTGGATGCTTTGCTACTTATTAGTAATGGCAAGATATATGAGCACTGTGGGGAGATATGGCCAAGTATCCCTTGGGTCACTGTGAGGATTACAGTGGAACTAAACTCCCCACAGGTTAGCTTGTTTTGGTGAAATTTTTGTCCTAAGATCCTCGGGATCACCAGGATCCTGTATTTGTCCTGCTGGCAATTTCTATTCAGGAATTTCAAGCTTTGAAATAGAGAATTACTGATAGGAATGAGCTAGTAAAAAGAGAAGGAAACAGTTACTCAGGTGTTGTGAAGTCAGACAGATTGTATAATGTTTATAACGCTGGTGTGTAGTTTGCTCATAGAAATGAATGCTTATCTGGAATTTGTCTAGTGAAAATGAAACAATTAAACCCATTCAACTGCAGAACCAGGGTCCTCCGCCAAGTAGAAGTGTAATCAACATTTAAGCTGAGCTTCATCTGTGCTCCCGTCTGTGAGTGACAGTGCCTCCATGGAGAAACTGCTTCTGACTTCTGGTTCTCTCACTGTTTTCACAGAGTCTGAGCCCTTGTGAAGCTGGCGATGACAAGTCTGAATGGTCGCCATGCCGAGAAAACCATTGACATGCCAAAGCCATCAGCCCCCAAAGTGCACGTGCAGAGGTCTGTGTCCCGAGACACCATCGCCATTCACTTCTTGGCATCTGGGGAGGAGGAGGAGGAAGAGGAGGAGGAGTTCAAGGAGTACCTCACAGAGGGGCTAGACGACCAAAGCATTGTAACAGCGCTCGAAGCCAAGGAAGACCTCTACCTTGAACCCCAGGGTGGCCATGACTCCGCGGGCCCTGCTGCCTCACCCATCCTGGCAGAGGGACTGCCCGCATCCCAGGCCCCTGCCATTTTACCCGTCTCGGAGAACACTGTAAAGCTGTTGGAGCCCCCTCCTCCGGCAGCACAAGTATTAAGTACAGTGCCATTGGCTCTGTCCCCAGGGTCATCCTTGTCAGGGCCCTTAGCCAGCTCTCCCAGCATATCATCCCTCTCTGAGCAGAAAACCAGTTCTTCCTCCCCATTGTCCTCTCCTTCCAAGTCCCCCATCCTGTCATCCAGTGCCTCATCCTCTGCCCTGTCCAGCGCAAAACCTTTCATGAGCCTTGTCAAGTCCCTGTCTGTCGAGGTGGAGCCAAAAGAATCTCTGCACCCCCCCAGGCACAGGCACTTGATGAAGACCTTGGTGAAGTCCCTGTCCACAGATACTTCCAGGCAGGAGTCAGAAGCTGTTTCCTATAAGCCACCTGACTCCAAACTGAACCTACACCTGTTCAAGCAGTTCACACAGCCCCGGAACACAGGTGGAGATTCCAAAACCGCACCTTCTTCCCCATTGACCTCTCCCTCTGATACCCGCTCCTTTTTCAAAGTGCCCGAAATGGAGGCTAAAATCGAAGACACTAAACGCCGCCTTTCTGAAGTCATATATGAGCCTTTTCAGCTCCTTAGTAAAATCATAGGGGAAGAAAGTGGCAGCCATCGGCCGAAAGCCTTATCTTCAAGTGCTTCTGAGCTCTCCAACCTGTCCAGCTTGAACGGGCACCTGGAAAGCAATAACTACAGCATCCAGGAGGAAGAGGGGGACTCTGAAGGTGAGGGCTATGGAAGCGACCCCAACACCTCCAGGGGTGACCTCCCAAAGGCTACCGAGGAGCCCTCGAGAGAGGCTGAACCGAAAAGTGGCCAGGTGAGTGGCCTGAAGGACTTGGGCTTGAGGACGAGTTCTCTAGTCCTTGAGAAGTGTACCTTGTCGGCACTGGTGAGCAAAGAAGATGAAGAGTTCTGTGAGCTGTACACTGAAGACTTTGACCTGGACACAGAGGGGGACAGTAAAATGGACAAACCCCCAGACGTCCCTGTCCAACCAAAGGTGCTTGGCATCGGTAGTGCAGTCCTCGACAGTGAGGATGAGGCAGAAGCAGCCGGGCAGCACCCTGAGTTGCCAGTGAAGACACTGGGCTTCTTTGTAATGTGTGTCTATGGGTACCTCATCCTCCCCCTTCCCTACTACGTGAGCGGCCTCCTCCTGGGAGTTGGCCTAGGCTTCATGACTGCAGTGTGCGTGATTTGGTTTTTTACACCACCAAGTGCTCATAAACACCACAAGCTGTATAAGCATGTGCAGCCCTGGAACACGAGGTCTCTGGATATCAAAGAGCCTGAAATCCTAAAGGTAAGTCCCTGTCTAGCCACTGGCTGGTACCGTCCATACACTCACTGCCTTGCAAACCGGGTCTGCTCTAGCTTCATTTTCTAGATCGTGGCTAAAAGTTTTGACACAAAGTGTTTTGAAGACTTTGGGGTCTCCTTGTTCTCCAGGCATTCAAGAGAATGTGCCGATGATCTCCTTCCGGCTCAGATTTGGTGATGACCAGGCAGTCTGTCAGATATCTCCCTGGCCCTGGAGAGTAGTGTTTGCAACTGGTTCTTGCTTTAGTTCATCTCTAAACTTGCACCTTACTGCGGGTTTATTACAGCTGTGGCTATCAGGGTTAGATATTCTTGACACCCTAGAGACAGGCTGTAATACAGGAATTGCAGAGAATGGAAGGAGGATGAGACAGCATCTTATGGGCTGGAGAGAGATGTTACCTTTCCATGCATTGCACATGTCAGGCTTTGGACCTCCATTGGATGTGGGAAGATGTGAGAGCTTGAATTATTTTATTTTAAAAATGTCTGGTTATAATGTGTTTCATAATAACAAAAATGGAGAAGTACAGGGAATGAGCGTTTACTTAGTGATTAAAACCCACATGTTCCCTATTGTAGTGCTTGGGTTTGATTCCTGAATCCATCTCCAGACTGTAGTTTTCTGCTAATGCAGGCCTCAGGAGGCGGTAGCGGTGACACAAGTGATTGGTTCCTGTACCCATGTGAAAGACCTGCATTGTGTTCCCGTTTGCCCTCAGCCTTGACCGTTAGGGCATTTGGGGAGTGACTCAGTGGATAGGAGCTTTCTATGTCTTTCTCTTGCTCCCTCAGTCTCCCCAATAGGTAAAAACAATTTAAAAATAAACATACAAGGTGCTGTGCAGTGGCCTAGTAGCTAAAGCCTCACCTTGCACATCCCGTATTGGTGCCAGTTTGTGTCCTGGCTTCTCCACTTCCCATTCAGCTTCCTGCTTGTGATCTGGGAAGGCCGTGGAAGATGGCCCAAGTGCCTAGGGACCCTGCACCCATGTGGGAGACCCGGAAGAAGTTCCTGGCTTCTAGCTTCGGATTGGCTCAGCTCCAACCATTGTAGCCACTTGGGTAGTAATCAAGTGGGCGGAAGACCTTTCTCTCTGTATCTCCTTCTCTGTAAAACTGCCTTTCAATAAAAGTAAATAAACTTTTGTAAAAATAAAAAAGTATAGCTGTAGACTATGTAGTTTGTAAACCATAGACTCAAATGCATATTTATGCATGTTTTTGCACAAAAAGTGTAGAATGAGAAAAGTTTAGACCACTGTTTCACTGAATTTATTTAATTCAACTTCACCCAGCAGTTGTCTTATGCTTCTAATTTTATGAGGGAACCTCAGAAAGCTGGTGGAAAAGCATATCATAAAAACTGTGTCTGAATATTAATTTTTTTGTATCAAAATATACTTCTCTTTTAATTTTATTTTCCACAAACTTAAAAAAAAACAATTTGCTTATTTGAAAGGCAGAGTCACAGAGGGGATGGGGAGAGATACACAGAGAGAGACAGATTATCCATCTACTGGTTCACTCCCCAAGTGGCTATAACAGCCGGAGCTGGAACTGTCCAAAGCCAGGAATCGGAAGCTTCATCCAGGTCTCCCATGTAGGTGCAGGGGCCATTTTCTGCTGCTTTCCCAGGTACATTAGGGAGTGGAGCAGCATGGACTCCAGCCAGTGCCCATATAGGATGTTGGCGTCACAAGCAGCAGTTTTAATCCACTATTTCACCATTCTGGCCCCTACACAGACTTTCTGAAGTTACCTGGTGAGATAGAGTGCTCATTTCTTACTACTTGAGTAGTGGCAGTGGGATTTGGAGCCTTGGGTTTCCTCTTACTGCCTTCCCTAGCATGCATTCTTTGTGCCCGCCTGGCGAAGTCTGCGTCACATCAGGGGTATAGGAAAGAACTGGCTTTCCTTGGAGCCGATTTAAACTGTAGTTATTGATTTTAACTTTTCTCTTTTCAAGTTCAAAGGTTGTTTGTCTTCTCAGTTAAATTCATCAGTTTTTACTCTTCTGTGTTTACTCAAGGATGTTGTTAAAATGGCAGTATGATCAACATATTGAACAAAAATAAGGAAAGAAATTTTTAGGGTAGAAAATGCTATTTGCTTTTTAATATCATAAACTTTTTTTATTGTTCAGAAGAAATACATGGTCAATGTTTAAAAACACAAGAAACTAGAAAAGAAAAAAATGATTATCACAGCAGTGGAGGGAATTACTGTTAATGGTGTGTTAGCTCTCAGTTTAAAGTCTTTTGGAGCTGGTATGGTGATCAGTAAGTTAAACTCCCATATATGACTCCAGTATCCCATATTGAAGTGCAAGGTTTTAATCCTGGAAGCTTTCCTTAAATTCTGCTTCCTATGAAGATGGCAAAAAATGGCCCAAGTACCTGCCACTCAGAGGGCAGCCCTAGATAGAGTTCCTGGCTCCTGGCTTTGGTTTGACCCAGGCCTAGCTATGTGGCCATACAGGGAATGAGCGAGAAGATGGAAGATCTCTCTAAATCTTTAAAAACATATTCTGCATGAATGTGTGTATATATTACACACATGCATACTCATCCTCTGTTTCAGTGTTGCTTTAATGGGATGATATATCGTGGCAAAATATGGTAAGTGGGAAGCCAGAATCCCCTATCAGAGAACCTGGGATCAAGTCCTAACTCCACTTTTAGTCCAGTTTCATGCTAGTACACCTGAGAGGCAACAGATGATGACCCAAGTCCTTGGATTCCTGCCACACACATGGAAGATCCATGTGGAGTTCCTGGCTCCTGGCTTCAGCCTGGTCCAACCCCAACTACTGGAGGCGTTTGGGCTGTGAACCAGCAGATGAAAGACACCCGTCTCTTTGTGTATCTCCCTGTCTCTCCTCCTTTTAGATAGATGCATTTGAAATTTCCTAGTAGAAAATAAGCACTTTAATGCTACAGATTGACACCAATAATCTTAGCAAGTATTCTTGCTTATTGATGTTTGAACAGTTTAATCATTTTGGGAATTCTGTTTCATTTGTAGCTTTCTCTCATTTAGAATGTTTTCATTCCTAATGAGGAAAAGTGTATTTCAGCCTGCTGTCTTTTACTTGGTATATTACACTGTTTCTAGAAAGTTGTCTTTAGGAAAGGGTTACTGCAATGGATTAGAAGGGTGAATGTTCCTTATAATTTTATTGAATGAGAGATCATGCCTCCAGGAATCATTTACAAATAAGGCACTTTAAGGGTCAGTGCTGTGGCATAGTGGATAAAGCTACTGCCCACAGCTCCAGCATCCCATATGGTCACTGCTTCAAAACCCAGATAGCTGCTCCACTTCTGGTCTGCATCCCAGCTAGTGAGCCTGGGAAAGCAGCAGAAGGTGGCCCACGTCCTTAGGACTATGCACTACACAGGAATCCTGACTCCTGGTCTCAAATCAGTCCAGTTTGAGCTGTGGTGGCTTTTTGAGATGGGAATGGGAGATCTCTCTCTCTGTGTGTCTCTTTCTCTCTTTCTAATAGAGGAATAGATCATATTATATATATATATATATATATATATATATATATATATATATATATTAACATTAAATGTAGGAGCCAGATGCTGTGGTGAGAAATGGAGACTGGAGTAGAGTCTGGCTTTGACTATCTGTCAGCCTCTCTGTGGCTTCTCACTGAACAATGTGTTCTACTTTGAGTTCAGGCAACACTAACTATTGTAACAGATCACAAATTTATTTCTTGCCCCACTAACAGTGCCTGCTGGGCATCCCCGGTGGCACCAGTTCCCTGGTTTGTCTATAAAACAGACCCGTGAACCACTTTGTAGAGCCAATCAAAAGAGTCAGTTGGTTCGTGTTAACTTCCTGTGCACAATCCTCTTCAGTTAGTTTTTATGGTGAATATGATAAAGCTCTTCCTGAGGGCAGCTATGGAAACCTTAAAAATAGAATAAAACTCTCTGGTCCAGGAGGCTACAAAACCTGCCTGTGAAGATCTCCGTACGCTGGCCCATGGCCTTGCAGGGATCCTGGGCTTCGTGCTTAAGAAGAGTTCATATGGGCCCGGCATGGTAGCCTAGCACCGAAAGTTCTCACCTTGCTTGTGCCTGGATCCCATGTGGGTGCCAGTTCTAATCCCGGTGGCCCTGCTTCCCATCCAGCTTCCTACTTGTGGCCTGGGAAAGCAGTTGAGGATGGCCCAAAGCCTTGGAACGCTGCACCCGGAACAGTGCCTGGCACAGTTGCCTAGTGGCTAAAGTTCTCATCTTTCGTTTGCCAGGACCCCATATGGGCACTGGTTCTTGAGTGCTCTTTATTGCTTATTCTATTTCTGCCTGTATGTGCATTATCATTAAAAAGTCCCGCAATCACAGTTTGGGAGATGCTGTTCTGAAAAATAGAACGGCTGGGACAAAGGCTATTTCCCTATATCTGATCTGTGGCTTACCCACAGCTTTGTCTCCTGGGCATTTGGTGACCTCTGGGAAGGTGACCTAAAGCAGGCAGTGGGAGAAAGTGGGCAGTTTCAATGCAGTTGCCCTAATGGACGTTTTTAAAAAGTGCTCTCCCTAGTATATTTGAACAGCATCTATTTGGAATGCTGGCTCTCTGCTTCAGGCTGTCAATAGTAGTGTGAATTCCATATGTCCACAGATCTGCTTCTTCCGTTTTGTGTCTGAAGTTCGGTGAAGTTTGTAAGACTGTTCTGCTCTATCCTCGAACTCCATAATCTCTGAGACTGCTTTGTGTAACTGACAACTCCAGTTCTCAACCTCCAATACATCCGAAAGAGGTTAACTCTAGCAAAGATACAATCCTGTTTATGTTTTAGTTTGGGGAACAAAGGAAGGATAATCACCTTTTGTGTGCTTCAGAGATGATTTCAACAGCAGTGGCGTTGAAACTTGGCTCTGTTCTTGTGTTTAAGGTTTGCTCCTTGCCCAACAGACCTGATGAAGAAGTGCTACAGGGTTATGAACGACAGGCAGA